AAAACTCCTTTAATGACTAAATATTAAAATATCCTCCAACGATGGAAACTTGTAAATATGCTAAGGTATAGTGAATAAAATCCCCGTCTTAACTAGATGTAATGTATAACTTAATACGCTAGGGTTCCTGAGAAATAAATTATTGAATTTCTAACCAATGCGCACATCGTGGTATTTTATTATTTCCTCCCTATGCGCCGGTCGTTAGGGGGAGGGGGGGGGAAGGTGAAAAGGGATACCTGTTACGCACCGCGCCAGTGCTACTACACACCGCGCGGCCTTGAGTTGGGCGCCAGACATAGTTTACGTAACGGGTCAAATAGTGGGTTGGGGCATACACTGCCACATTAGTATTTCTTTTTTTTTTTTTATTAAATGAGTAAGGGCGGGGTGGGTTGGTTTTGGCCAAAATCGTCCCAAATAGTCAAAGTTTCAATCGTCAATTTTAATGGTTCAAAGGTTGTTGTGAACTAGATTTAGGGGTGTTACGGTTTGGTTGGGGTGGGGCGGGGGGGGGAGGGATCGTTGATAGTAAGAGATTTTGTGAGTTGTAGGTCGTGAGTTCAGATCGTGAAGTTGGTTCATGGTGTTGTGTTACTGCAGCGGTTTTCAACCTGTGGGTCGCGACCCCTTTGAGGTCACCACAACATTAGGAACTTAATTGAAGGGTCACGGAATTTGGAAGGTTGAGAACCGCTGTGTTATTGTATGCTGAGTGATTATTGTGGTTGGGTTTACAGACGTGCGGTGTGTTAAGAGATTTTGAGAGTCAGCGGAGAGCTAGCGTGTTTGTGGCAGTGGCAGTGTTGTGTTGTCAGAATAGAGAACGTATTGTGAGCTGACAGTTCCTGTAATAATAAATAATTGTTATATCTTCTCTAATTGAACGATGGTTGTTGATCTTAAGTGCGGACCTAACATGGCTGTGCGGCAGTGAAGTGTGGCCCAAGCATGGCTGTGTGGCAGTGCTGTTCGACAACACTGCCAGTAATGAGTATAGCAATCGTAAGTTGCGACACTTGGAAAGAGATGTAACAGTTCGAAGCGGAGACGTTCCATTAATGGGAACGGTCGTAACAATGGCGTAAGTGGGTACTTTTGGCTAGAACCAGAGGCGTAGCTAGAGTGTTTGGCGCCCGGGGACGACATTCATTTTAAACAGCCCCCCCCCCCAACCACTTTCTTTTTTTCAACTCTCAAACCCATTATTTTTATCAATAAAATATCAAAGCACATTTTGGCGCCCCTAACTAGTCTATCGCCCAGGGACATCTGTCCCCCTTAGCTACCCCTCTGGGCCACTGGTCTAACGAGTCTTCTGTGTTGTAGATGCCAGTTTGCCCCGTGTAAATCTAAAGAAAGCAACGATATTGGGTGTTCAAAACTTAATACATCTTAAATAAACTGGTATAGGCTAAGTCTCTGTACGAAAATATAGGTCATTGGTGTGTTATGGAACAAAACAGAGAAATATGGACTCGATAGAGACCCATCACGACCAATAAACAAACACCCCCACCATCCTAACCCCACAGACAAGTCAAGCTAAAAGCAGGCCAGCATGCAATTTTCCCTATGGTCACCAGAGCCGACGGGAAGACAGTGCCTCTTATCTCTCTCCTTAAAGGCACACGGCTCCATTCGCCACAGTGCGTCATGTCACGGGAGAGTCTTGAGATAGACCAGCATTGAAACAATATTCAAAATACTCGTTCGTAGAGAGTAGCGGAATCAGATTAAGGTAAGATTTGTGTGTTCTGTGCTGTAGTTGCTATAAATGGGCGAATGCTGGTGATAGTGGCGTAGGACGGGGACATGGTTAAAAGGGCTGTATTTTCGACCAACTGCTGATTTTTTTCGTGGCTCCAAGGGTTTGGGGGGGGGGGGCCGTGAGCGGATCTTCGCCCACCACTTCCACCCCTTAGCTATGCTGACGCACTTTAAATTTGTTCAGAAAACATCCATTTCCTGACCTATTGTAATTATCTCCGCCCTCAGTGCCGCATGTGTTGCCCATCGTGAGAGTGTTGCCCATCGTGAGAGTGTTGCCCATCGTGAGAGTGTTGCCCATCGTGAGAGTGTTGCCCATCGTGAGAGTGTTGCCCATTGTGAGAGTGTTGCCCATTGTGAGAGTGTTGCCCATTGTGAGCGTGTTGCCCATTGTGAGCGTGTTGCCCATCGTGAGAGGGTTGCCCATTGTGAGCGTGTTGCCCATTGTGAGCGTGTTGCTCATTGTGAGCGTGTTGCCCATTGTGAGAGTGTTGCCCATCGTGAGCGTGTTGCCCATTGTGAGTGTGTTGCCCATTGTGAGCGTGTTGCCCATCGTGAGAGTGTTGCCCATTGTGAGCGTGTTGCCCATTGTGAGCGTGTTGCCCATTGTGAGCGTGTTGCCCATTGTGAGTGTGTTGCACTGTTATAATACTTTCAAACCGCTTTGATGCGTTGCCTCGCGTCTTTACGCCTCTGTTTCCATGACTGTGTGTGGAGGCCTGGAGCTCCATTAAGTGGTCCACATTTGATTGTGGGGGCCTGCAGCTCCATTAAGTGGTCCACATTTGATTGTGGAGGCCTGCAGCTCCATTAAGTGGTCCACATTTGATTGTGGAGGCCTGGAGCTCCATTAAGAGGCCCACATTCTATTGTGGAGGCCTGCAGCTCCATTATGTGGCCCACACTTGATTGTGGAGCCCATTCATTATAAAATATGTCCTTAAAAAAAAAGCTTTTATAATTTATAAACAAGACGATTCCATAATTTCCTCGTCCCAGTTGAGGCTGTCAACCGCCATGGCCACTCGTCTGCTGTCCCAAAGCGACCACACCATCATGGCGGCTGTTGTGGCAGGGGCAGCTGTTGGACTAACTATGATGGCGGTGGTAGGACACAACCACAGGAAACTTTTCCAACAGGTGAGCTGACTTTCAGTTTAGTTAGTATTATTTTAACCAAAAAGAATCATTTTGCTGTTCTTCATATAAGTCTGTTATTCCTATTTAAGAAAAAAAAACCAACAAATTTTCTTCAAAAGCTAATTAAATATATTATGACTAGTCATAGCTCGCCAACCAATTGAGGTAGTCATGCGGGAACTTCCCATCTACTAAGGTTACTTAACAAAACATGAACTCAAGTAACGCACATTTAAGAATCACAATTTTTGCAACAGCCCCCCCCCCCTCTCAACCCCCTATGCACACTTGTTATTTCACGCCCATGGGCTATATTAAATATTCTGATGTCCCAAACCACTATTAAACCGCATATTTATTACACCGTATTTAAATTGAGATGATTTCATTTTCCGAAAAGAAAAGAAAATATTACGCACCGAACGCAGGTGGCTTTATTAAAAAAAAAAAATCATACAGCGTAGTTATCGGGAATTAAATTTTCGCGCTATTGAACTCATTATTGAACCATACTTCCTTTCAAACGTGGAGAATTATTTGTAATATAATCCAAATACCAAAGACGCAGAATGGGTAGCAGCCAGCGCGTTAGCAAGCAGCCGGAAATGAAAGCAGTCTACCAGCAGCGTAATATATATAGTATAAGAGATTTGTAAAGCATCTTTATTGGTCCACTCATGGGCTAATGCAGAGAATATCGGGGTGACGTACTGTTAGTGTTGTTGTGATAGCTCGTGTGTCGAAAGCCGATCATGGCCATTTTGAAAACATCGGCCGGTTGCTGCGGCTGAGTCTGTCTGCTGGGTGCGCAGATGGCTTCTGGTGCAGAAGGCGCACGGGGGGGGGGGGGGGGGAGACGACGAAAGAAGGGACAACCCCAGAGGTACAAGAATTAAATAATGTTACACATCAAATAAATCTCCTTGTACAGTTGTCCGTTTAACATTGAATTGTGGTTAAAAAAAAAAAAAAATTATAATAATTTCAAATCAAGGTGAGATACGATGAGTGTTATGAATTTAACCAGGGAAACCATGTTCGCTGGAGGAACGGGCATCGACTTGCCCAGTGGGCGTGGCTTGGAGGGCGCCAGATGGGCAGTCGCCACGGGCGCACGATTAACAGAGACACACGGGTGTGGGTGTGGGGTGGGGGTGGTGTAGGGGTGGTGGGTGTAATGTGTGGGTTGGGTGTGGGGTGGGGTGTGGCGTGGGATGGGGGAGGGTGGGTGATGTTGGCCTACATCACCTCCTCCCCACAGTATTGACAAACATCATCCCCCACCCCCTTCCGTATTGACATGCATGAACATCTCATCTTTCCTCACTTTAAGGAAAGTGACACCTAATAGGTATAACTTTTTCTCTCCTAGATAGGAACAGTGGCAAACCTGTACATCTACCCTGTCAAATCTTGCGGCGCGATGGAGGTGTCAGAAGCTAACTGTACACCGGTCGGACTAGAGTCCAACGGTGTCAATGACAGGTGACTGGAGGTCGTTTAAAAAAAAAAAAAAAAAAAAAAAAAGTTATAATCATTCGTGGTATTCGTGTGTATTATCAAAATGAAGATGCTATTTTCATGTTTAACTGTAAACCAACTGGATCAGGCTTTCTGATCTGGCTCTACTATATCTATTGAAAGGGATCTCTTAACTAAGCGCTCATGTTGGTTGTTTTTTTAATCATTATTGAATATTCTCACATTTTTGTTGTATTGCTAACATACATAGTGAACTCTCGAAACAATCGCCAAGAATTCAATGACCCATTCAACTGACCAATGCCCAGGAGGGTAAAGGGGGGCAGGCTTTCAAAACTCAGAGATGGGGTAGAAGCCCCTGGGTTAAACACCCACCCACCCCTCCCCCAACAAGAATGATAAATAATATTTCAAAAGCTGCATTTCTATGTCAATTTTGCTAATTAACAAAAAATAATTCTGTAATGATATGTTTTGTCACCCAAGACACTGGATGATCCTTGACCCCTCTGACCACGTGATCACCATGAAAGAGGAGCCGCGCCTGACCCTGGTCAAGTGCAGGAGCGTCGACGGCCGACTGCTGCTTGAGGCCCCTGGCATGGACCATCTGCAGCTGCCCCAAAGACCCGATCTCAGGACACGTCAACGGCAACACAAAATGTACGTTTGACACATAAATGACACATATACGACACATATACGACACATACAGCACTGCCAGTGATTATTTCAGAAATTTTCCCCCGGGGGGGTGGGGGGGGCAGTGCCTGCAGTTATTTTGGCTTTCTCTTGGGGGGGGGGGGACGGGACGGGACGGGAGATATAGTTGTAAGAAACCCTGAACCAAACCACTCGGCGCAAGGGAAATAATCATGTTAATTAAATAAGGGGAAAACGAATTCTATTTGTTCCCCTTGAATGACATATTAACGGTACTAATATTGATGTATCACATTGTATTTAAAAACCAAATGATGCAGATCTCAATTTATTGCAACTGTTTACAAACCAAACAGAAAATAATTGCCTTTCCGACAGATTTTACGTATCGTGAACCTGTCCCCCCAACCCCCCCCCCTTTCCCAATTGCTTTCGTCCGTCAAATTGTGATTGTGACGGTGATGTAGATTTGTCACGTGACGGTGGTGTAGGCTTGTCACAATGTGACGATGGTGTAGACTTGTCACATTGTGACGGTGGTGCAGGACGAAATCACAAGGCCTGGGATTTTTAAAAAAAATATTTCGGATAAGCTTGTACTCTAGGCAGTAATTATCTCTCTCCGCACACCTGGATAAGCCAAGGGACTATCATATGTGGATGATACCGCTTGGGTGGTGCTGTATGTTGTTGCTGCTGTTGTTGCTTGTCTGGGGTTTGAACTCCAGTCCACAAACAAAAGGATGGATTCAGTTTAGACTGCTCAGCCATACAAGTTATATAAATACCTTACAATTTTTGCACGTGATCCACAATGACGTAAGCGATTCACGTGTTGTAACTCTTGGTTTTCAATTTATTTTTATTTCAACGCGTGTACGTGGCGGATCATCTAGACTCCTGGGCCAGGCTGTCACCATGGTCTGCTGTGGAGGAGAGGCGGAGAAATGGATCTCCGAGTTCCTCGGGCGGTCAGCGCGGATGGTGTTCTCATGCCGAGACCTGGGCCCAAGGGATGTCCACGGCCGACCCAGGAGGTGGCCCAACACCGCAAGGCAAGGCGACATTGTAGGTATACACGCGACAGGGCTGGTGGCAGGTATACACGCGACAGGGGTGGTGGCAGGTATACACGCGACAGGGGTGGTGGCAGGTATACACGCTCCAGGGGTGGTGGCAGGTATACACGCGCCAGGGGTGGTAGGAGGTATACACGCGACAGGGGTGGTGGCAGGTATACACGCGCCAGGGGTGGTAGCAGGTATGCACGCCATGAGTGGAAGCAGGTATACGTGCTAAGAGTGGCAGTGGGTATGCTGTATTACATGCTTAGAGTGGTAGTAGGTATACATGCAAGGATAGAGAGGGTGAGGTAAGCGTGCTGGGAGTGGGAGTAGGTATACTTGCTAGGAGAGGGAGTAGGTATGCTTGCAATGAGTGGGAGTAGGTATACTTGCTAGGAGAGGGAGTAGGTTTACTTGCTAGGAGACGGAGTAGGTATACTTGCTAGGAGAAGGATTAGGTATACTTGCTATAAGTGGGAGTAGGTATACTTGCTAGGAGAGGGAGTAGGTATACTTGCTAAGAGAGGTAGTGGGTATACTTGCTAGGAGAGGGAGTAGATATACTTGCTAGGAGAGGGAGTAGGTGTACTTGCTAGGAGAGGGAGTAGGTATACTTGCTAGAAGGAGTAGGTATACTTGCTATGAGTGGGAGTATGCATACTTGCTAGGAGAGGTAGTAGGTATGCTAGCTAGGAGTGGGAGTAAGTATACATTTAAGTACATTTAACTATATACACATGACTACATCTGCCTCCATCTAACTACATCATCTACAACTGAAAACATATGAACACATCTAACTACAGGTAACACACATCTAACTTGATCTAACTACACCTGACATATAAATAAATTTAACTACATCTGACTAAATCTGACTAGACTAAATCTGACTACCTCTAACTACATATGAATGCATGTGACTAAATTTAACTACATCTGACTACATCTAACTACATCTAACTACATCTGACTACATCTAACTACATCTAACTACATCTAACTACATCTAACTACATCTGACTACATCTAACTACATCTGACTACATCTGACTACATCTAACTACATCTAACTACATCTGACTACATCTAACTACATCTAACTACATCTGACTACATCTAACTACATCTAACTACATCTGACTACATCTAACTACATCTGACTACATCTAACTACATCTGACTACATCTAACTACATCTAACTACATCTAACTACATCTAACTACATCTAACTAGACAATATCTGCCTATATCTAACTACATTCAAATAGATTTGACTACATCTGATTAGACTAAATCTGACATTTTACTACAGCTAACTACATCTAACTACTTCTAACCACATCTGACTACATCTAACTACTTCTAACCCCATCTGACTACATCTAACTACTTCTAACCACATCTGACTACATCTAACTACTTCTAACCCCATCTGACTACATCTAACTACTTCTAACCCCATCTGACTACATCTAACTACTTCTAACCACATCTGACTACATCTAACTACTTCTAACCCCATCTGACTACATCTAACTACATCTAACTACATCTAACTAGACAATATCTGCCTATATCAAACTACATTCAAATAGATTTGACTACATCTGATTAGACTAAATCTGACAACATTTTACTACAGCTAACTACATCTAACTACTTCTAACCACATCTGACTACATCTAACTATATCTAACTATTTGACTACAGGTCACTAGACTAAATCTGACTACATCTAACTACTCATGACTGCATGTCACTAAATTTGACTACATCTGACTTCACCTAGCTACATCTATTTGCGTCTGACTACTTTTGACTACATCTAGCGAGATCTGACCATATCTAACTACATCTAGCAACATTGGACTACATCTTACTTGACTACATCTAACTACATCTGACTGCACATGAGTGCATCCGACTACAAATTACTACATCTGCCTCCATATGACTTCACCTAACTACATCTGACTAACTCTAACTACATCTGACTAACTCTAACTACATCTGACTAACTCTAGCTACATCTGACTAACTCTAACTACATCGAACTTCAACGTACACCATATGAACACATCTATCTACACTTTACAACATCTAACTTGATCTAAGTATATCTGACTACATACCACTAACTCTAACTACATCTGACTAAGCTGCATCTGACTAAATCTATTTATATTTAACTTCATCTGAGTAGGCTACATCTGACAAAATCAAAATACATTTAACTACATCTGACTAGAAGGCATTTTACAACATCTAACTTTATCTAACTCTATCCTACCACATCTGACTACATCTAACTACAGCTCATTACATCTTATTACTTTTACGGTACCACATCTGACTACATAGTCAGGTGAAGTTAGATGTAGTCTAGTCAGATGTGTTGTTGGTTGTTGTCTGTTGACCGACAACAAAAGACAACAACAGACAATAAAAGACAACACAGACAACAACTGATAACAAAAGACAACAGGCAACAACAGACAACAACAGACAAAGGAAAGACAACAACAGACGACAACAGATAACCATTAAGAACCCAGTATCTTAGATTAGTTAATCATTTTGGTGGCCCTCAAAAGGGCCGGGGCACCCGTGACCATAGGGATGCCAATGATTTACTTGAAGAGAACCCACCCGAGAAGGCCTCTGATCAGAAGGATCACAAGCCGTACTAGATGTCGGATGTGGGCCTCTAACTTTACCATTTCGGTCCGTCCCTCGGAAAGGGGGACGACCTCCACCGGCGTTTCCTCCGCGGGCTTCTCCTCCTCCTCCGGCTTCTCCTCCTCCTCCTTCTTCTCCTCCCCCTCCGTCATCGCCGCGACCACCTCTTCCTGGTGTCCCGTCGTGGCCTCTGGTTCCGAAGTCGTAGATTCGTATTGTTCCACCTCTTCGATTTGCTGTTCCAACGTCATGGCATCCGCCGAAGTGGCACTGCTGCACGTGTGGAAGCTGGGCTCGAGTTCCGGCGAGATGTCCGGTTGCGCGCCGACCGGGGCCTGTGCGTCTTCAACTGCATACAGCTCTTCGTTAATGACCTGGACTTCGCGCGCTCTGCGGCCATGTCGTTTCCGCGTAGGATGGAATCTCCGGTAGAGCCGACGAAATCGCTGCCTGTAAGATGGGGACAGTGCTGGGGGGCGAAAATCTTCTTCTTCAACATTCCTGGTACATGCTCGACACGGCATGCATCGTAAAAAAAATGAAAAAAATCGACGTGGCTTCGGCTCCGAATTCATCGTTGAGTCAAAGCAATTTTGCGTGCGTTGATAGCACTCTGAATGATATGATGCGCGGACCTCCAGGAGGGAAAGGGCTTGAAGTCGGTACAGGGAAATCCGGAATTTCCTCAACTCTAAAGTCTATTGTTAGATCTCCTCCCAGAAGCCTTATTACATCTTTTTTATGAAGTCTAATGTTTGATCTTCTCCCTGACCTCTATTATTAGATCTTCTCCCTGAAGACAATTGTTAGATCTTCTCCCTGAAGTCTATTGTTGGATCTTCTCCCTAAAGTCTATTGCTAGATCTTCTCCCTGAAGTCTATTGTTGGATCTTCACCCTGAAGTCTATTGTTGGATCTTCTCCCTGAAGTCTATTGCTAGATCTTCTCCCTGAAGTCTATTGTTGGATCTTCACCCTGAAGTCTATTGTTGGATCTTCTCCCTGAAGTCTATTGTTAGATCTTCTCCCTGAAGACAATTGTTAGATCTTCTCCCTGAAGTCTATTGTTGGATCTTCTCCCCGAAGTCTATTGTTGGATCTTCTCTCAAAAGTCTATTGCTAGATCTTCTCCCTGAAGTCTATTATTGGATCTTCACCCTGAAGTCTATTGTTGGATCTTCTCCCCGAAGTCTATTATAAGATCTTCCTCCTGAACTTTTTCCTAAAACGCGAAATGGAAGTCGTCAATGTGCTTCCCGGTTTCAGCATGGCGCCCGACAACTTATCCAATTAGATTATTATTTTTTTTTTAAACATGAGATCAATATTTTCCCTAAAGGTAGAAGTAGAAAGGATTATTTCCCTTCGCACCACGTAAACAATTGGGAAGTTATTAAATAAATGTTTAAAAAAAATTCTAATTTGTCATTCACTTAACAATGATCTACATCTGACTGAACTACATCTGACTACACTACATCTGACTAGACCACATCTTACTAGACTACATCTGACTACAGTACTTCTGACTACTTCTGAATAGACTAAATGTGACTAGACTACATCTGACTACATCTGACTAGACTACATCTGACTAGACCACATCTTACTAGACTACATCTGACTACAGTACTTCTGACTACTTCTGAATAGACTAAATCTGACTAGACTACATCTGACTACATCTGACTAGACTACATCTGACTACATCTGACTAGACTAAATCTGATTAGACTACATCTGACTACAGTACTTCTGACTACACTATATCTGACTAGACTACATCTGAACTCATCTGACTAGTTTACATCTGACTAGACTACATCTGACTAGACTACATCTGACTAGACTAAATCTGACTAGACTGCATCTGACTAGCGTACATCTGACTAGACTACATCTGACTACATCTGACTAGACTACATCTGACTAGACTACATCTGACTAGACTACATCTGACTAGACTACATCTGACTAGACTACATCTGACTAGACTACATCTGACTAGACTAAATCTGAGTAGACTACATCTGACAAGACTACATCTGACCACATCTGACTAGACTACATCTGACTAGAGTACATCTGACTACATCTGACTAGATTACATCTGACTAGACTAAATCTCACTAGACTACATCTGACTAGACTACATCTGACTAGACTACATATAACTAGATTACATCTGACTAGTATATATCTGACTAGACTACATCTGACTACATGTGACTAAACTACATCTGACTAGAGAACATCTGAATACATCTAACTACATCCAAGTACAAACAAAAATATAACAATAGAATAAGTTAATCCAAAATACAATGCCTGCATCAGTAAGGTGAGATAAAATTCCTGCATCAGTAAGAAGAGATTAAATACCTACATCAGTAACTAGAGGTAATGCGCCTTCATCAGTAAGGCGAAGTAAAATGTGGGGTTGCATGACAATGAAGCTCAAGTAGAATATAAATATTTATAAAGAATGTTTTTTTTAACGAAATTAACTTCTACTGGTGATGCATCAGGCCCCCCCCCCCACCCCCTAGGACAATTCAATCCTGACTAAAGATATCGCCCCCTTATAGTTGCATTCATTCTGTGGAAGATACTAACAAAACAAAATCTTAATGATTCCGATCCCCTTCACACACACACACACTTACTCTCTTCACCCAGTGGAGGCCTCGTCCCCCAAATATAGAGATCATCACGTGGGTCGGGGAGGATATTGGGAACAGGACCATCTCAGAGAAAAATTGTCATTCGATTAACAAGATCTCAGATGTGAATACATTAATGATGTTTCGTTTATGATTCAAAGATTGTCGGTCATTGTACAATCTGTGACTCTCTTTAATGGTTCAAGGATTGTCGGCTATTGTACAATCTACGATTTTCGTTAATGATTTAAAGAGTTTCAGACATTGTATTATCAAACTATGACTTTCTTTAATGATTCAAGGAGTGTCGGCCATTGTAGTATCAATCTATGACTTTCGTTCTTGAAGCATATTACCAGGCTAATGCTTCTTAAACCGTTCTCATCACCGTTGAACTTTTCAGACGATCTTCGCCTACCTGACCTCCTACCTGGTGACCAACACCGCGTCCCTTCAGAGCATCAACGGCCAGATGACCACGCCAGCATCCATGATCAGTTTTAGACCTAACATCGCCGTGCGCCATACAGAGGCCTTTGACGAGGTCAGTCCTGGTCGGAAAATATCTTTGTCAAAATAAAGTGATGATTCGAAGTAGACGCCATCTGAAGATTTACGAATTGAATTGAATCAGAAATAATAATTATTTTTATAAAACCATAACATGATATACCGGGTAGATATATTTAAAAAAAATGCCTTTTTTTAAATTTTATTTTTTTAATATTATTTTTATTATTTTTATTTTTTTTTTTGAAGGGAAACAAATGCCTAATTAGTTTAACAAAAAATTGAACAAACGTTTTTCCCTCTTGACTTCATTAAATGATGTATTTATTTATGTTCTGAAAATGTATATGCTACAATGAAATAAAAAAAAACAACATTTACATTTATTTTCATCAATAAATGTATCTTATCTTATCTTATTTATTTACACTAGGATAACTGGCTGGAGCTCCGTATAGGAGAGAATGTTCTCTTTCATGCTGTCGAGCCGTGCAGAAGGTAAAGTACCCAAATATTTTAGTGCTTATTACAATCTGCTGAAATATCAGCCCCTGCGTATCATGAGGCCCACCGCAAGTTACGCTCATGAATTTATTATAACCCTAGTCTTCTATTGATACAGGTCGGATTGGCCAATTTCTGATACAAGCTACTTTGTACTTATTTAGAAATAGTAAATATAAAATCAAATTTCGTTGTTGAGGCGTAGGTAATGGGGGGAAAGGGGGGGGGGTAGAGGACGGACATATGTGTCGCTGGGTGCCAGACTAGTTAAGGGCGCCAAAATGTGCTTTGAAATATTTTATAGATGAAATTTATGGGTTTGAGAGCTGAAAAAAAGAAAGGGCGTCTCTTTAAAATGAATCTTGTCCCCGGGCGCCAAACTCTCTAAGCTACGCCTCTGTTTTGTTGTCAATTATAGTCGAGAAGTGATTCGAATTTAACAGTGGCTGATATTTTATTATCCACATCCACAAATCCGAAAACACATGGAAATCATATCACATGAAATTTCAATTACTAACTTCTGGATAACATAATCTTTTTTTAAAAATTTAAAAAAAAAAAAAAATTAAACTCAATAACGTATCAACACAATCTAAATCTCCATGCTTCAATCAACGGTCTCTCTTCATTCCTCTCATCGCAAGCCTCCATTATTCAACTCTTTCAGCTCTCACTGGCCAGTTTCTTCCCTAAGTCCCAACACTCAGTATATTATATACGAAATATTCAACCATATTACTTATCTCCCATCAGTATTCATATTCATATCTGTTACACGAACTATCATACATGTATAATATATGTATATATATATAGAGAGAGAAACAGTTTAACGGACATTTAAAAAACAACACACACACCAACTGTCACACCTCACAGCTGTTATATTGGAAATGACGTAATGGCTGACACTAACCCCCCCCCCCCTCCCCGCCCTGATCGTCGCCTTTCAGATGCCCAATAACCACCATTGATCCTAACACGGCGGAGGTGAACCTAGATATGTATATATATAGAGAGAGAAACAGTTTAACGGACATTTAAAAAACAACACACACACCAACTGTCACACCTCACAGCTGTTATATTGGAAATGACGTAATGGCTGACACTAACCCCCCCCCCCTCCCCGCCCTGATCGTCGCCTTTCAGATGCCCAATAACCACCATTGATCCTAACACGGCGGAGGTGAACCTAGAGAGGCAGCCGCTCGAGCTCCTGAAATCGTGAGTCCTTTTTCACACTTATTGTCTAGCCACAGTTTCGTTTATAAGCGTGGAGAAATACGGGCAATAATGATAGGAATTAATACATGCTTATCACGTTTTTTTTTTTAAAAACCGAATTTACAGGAGCGTCATTTTGGGTAGGGAAGGGTGGGGCCTTGCCCTTCACCCCACTACATTTGCAGGTTTCATTGAAATTGCTATGTACTGTTGCGCCTCCAGTAATAAACAACTTAACAAGCCAATCATATTTTGATCCCTTCCCCTTTCCCTGAAATGATGCCCCTGTGTATTTGTTTGGTCGGTGGACTTACACTAAATCATGATTAGAACCAAACCTGGTGAAATGTAGTTAAGTTTTTAAACAATACCCCAATGCTCAAGTTGTGCAAAAAAAAAAAAAAAAAAAAAAAAAAAAAAAATGTTAAAGTTGTGCATTCTTTATCTCCGTATCCATCATCATTACAATTAATACATATGAAATCTTTCTGTAGTTGTACCGAACATGTTATTCTTTAAAGCCGATGATGGGGGAAACTAGTAGGAAGTAGCTTGCTTTTCAATCAATTAAAAAATAAAATTTAAAAAATAAAATTATATACTAATATTATTATTATTATAAATAAAAAATATTTTAAAATATTGTTTTTGTAAAAATGAATAAATAAACAAACAAGAGTATTGAAAATTGCAAAAAAAAAACCAAACATTTTTAATGAAATTTTAAAAAAAAATAAAAAAAATCCTGCACTAGTAACGTCAATCAAACTTGTCATTGCAGATTTCGTTGCCGCCCCCCGTATGGGACCGCCCCTATATTCGGACTCTACGTCTCACTGGACTTGCCCGGACGGGTCAAGGTTGGGGACCCCGTGTACGTGATGAGAAAAAAATGAAAAGACAGGTTCTTTTGTTGCGTTGCCGGCTTGAAAACAACTTTGCTGAACACAGCACTCCTGTCCCCTGTCTGTAGTAAAGCGGTGCACTACTTTCGTTGCGATGCTTACAAGTTCTTAAACGAATGACATACATGTATCCTATTTTCCATGGAATGAAAATCTAAAACCAAAGTCTCAGTGCGTTTTTTTTAAATACACAAGTTTGGTGCAGAGAGCGGAGTGATAATTATTGCTTGTTGACAGGGGCGTAACCGGGGTTGGTGACGCTCGGGAAGGGGGGAGAATTTCCCTTTTCAAGAAAAAAACAACTCTCTACAGTTGGCTGAAAATGCCGCCCCGGACGGACGGCAAACAGCTTTGCACCCCCCTTTCTTCGCCACTGCATGTTGAGTGTTATCAACTGTCTAGGTTGGGAAAGAGCTGCGCCAAATGCAATCAACTGTGACGGTTGTGTAACAGCTACTTTGAATGCAAAAAGTTGTGTTGCATGTGTAAGCTAATTTATGAGACCAAATAATGGTGGGAAGGGTGGGGGGGGGGTGGTAGCATTCAAGTGACCACACACAAATAAGAATTTCAAATGCGATGAAATGTCGTATGCAAAAAAAAAAAAAAAAAAAAAATAGGTCATGAAACGGAGTTTGATTGGAATAGCTTCGTCTTCTCTATCAGACTCGAGATACACCAGATACACACTCTGTTCCTCTCAACAGAGGAAATACAATTAGGAAAAGTGTAACATTTCGCGACGCCCCTGTAAGGAAGCCGAAGTACTTGGGACAAACCCATGCAGAGGAAACGTGGCACCTGGGGTGGTGATGAAGCCGGAAAATGGTGCCACTTAATGTTTAGAATAAATGCCCCCCCCCCCGCCGGGGCGAACGAGTAAAAATACTATTTTTGGCGCCCTTGGTCTTTCTTTTTATATTTTAATTCAATATTAACATCTTATCTAAGACAATTTTTGCACCCGTGATGTTGGCGCCCAGTGTGCCTGCCCTCTCTGCCCCATTGTCACAGCCCTTTCCGAAGGCAGTGTGGGACGCAGTGGTGCTACGTATGTTATGAGAACCACTGGACTTGCCAAACAGTGAGCTGTGTAAACCCATGCGACACATTTTTTAAGTTTATGTGACGTCACAATGATCTTTAAATTTAAAAAAAAGTTGGTATTCTTGGGTTGGGGGGTGGGGGGGTGGGTGGGGGGGGGGCGTCACCAAAATAATGGCACCTTGGCTCAAACGTGGAATGAGAATTTTAAAAATGCTTAATTAATCTTATTCTTTTCTTCTACTTTAGACAGAATACATGTATATATAATGTAAATTTAATTTGTACACATTTTATTTGTTGTACTATTGAAGGCTTTTGCCGATACGTTGACATAGTTTGTATTTTGTAAATTTCTGTGTGATCATCATTAGAGCTGGACCTGTATTGTTTTATTGAAACAAATTCGTTGGGGTCTGAATCTAATATTTGAAAGTTTATATACAATCTTCTATCTTGAAAAAAAAAAAACAATGATAAAAAAAAAAAAAAAAAATCAAGTTATGGATCCGAGACGACAAATAGTTTGTGGACCACTGCACTTGAATTTAACAACAAACATACACTTCCTCATCTACATCCTACATACTATCCGGTCGGTTCCTTAACCTTAAAAGCATATGTGTTCTTCATATTGACATAACGTGGGAAATTGTATTTAAAAGGTACACAATTGTCTTTTTTTTTTTCAATTGCGGCTAAAAATAAGCTTTATATAATATATTTAGATCAATTTTTAAGGCTATAACTATAAAAATGAGTTGTTTTTTCACCATAAATTTCATTTTCATTCAAACTATAACATTTAACTATTTGAGATCTTCACTAGTTTTTCGTTCTTCTCCTATATTAAAAAAATCCCTGTGACATTTTCTTAAGTTTTTAAACTTAAGTGGAACAATGTGGAGCTTGTTAGAAAGGAACAATGTGGAATTTTTGGAAAATTGCTTATTTGGAAAAAAAAATTCTATAAAATAATAATTTGATTATGTTAATGTATTTAATTATGTAAAATAAATTATTGCGCTCTACCTTAAAAATTAAAATGAAAGTTGAAATAAGGATCCCAGTGGGGACCCGTTCTATTTTGTGACCTTCTAATTATCATTAACATAGGGACTTTAAACAATTAATGAGATAGTCTAGTGAAAATTTACATGTTACCCGCATTAAAAATCGATGAAAATGCAATAGAAATAGCGAATATGAATTTGTATCCATGGCAACAACAGTTGTGACTATTTTGAGTTCAGAATGAACTTTTACAATATAGATTTTTCAAGTGCATTTTTACAAAGTTTCATCCAGCTCTTACTACTTAAGTCTTCAACATACATATATAACTCATATAAGAAATGGGATTTAATCGTTCCTATCTTTACGTTAGCTGACGATCAAACTTTACTGTAACAAATTATGACATTAAAATCGGTTGGCTAAGGAGATCCACCTTGGCTAAAAAATGTGGATGATATTATTTTAAAATCCGTTTATATTTTTAGAAGGGGTTTTCAAATATTCTGTTACTAAGTTTGGTCTAGATGCGACTTTTGACATTATAAAGTAAATACATTGTAGACGCTACTACACTCATTTGGAACTTTCAATATGCTTTCAAAACATATGAGAAAAAAATCATACAGACTTACAGTAAAATAAGAAACTTAATAATGACTTCTTCAACACTGCAATGTGAATATCGGATGTCAAAACATTCTAGACAAACTTATTATTTACGAAGCTTAAACCGAATGTACAAAATATAAACAATGTAATTAAGAAAGGGGAAACCTAATGACGCCATTGCGACATTGCTAAACTCATAAAATGCACCCACCCACTCAGGGGCGTAGTTTTTTGACTAAAGACTGATTTGGGGCTAGAATAAGAACACACTAATGCTTCCCTCTTTCACACACACACATACGCATGCAACCACACACACACACATTACTATATAATAATATTAATAAAAGAACACACCTGACTGTAAACCCCCTTTGTAACCTCCCAAAGCACCTTTTCATGCACGCCTATGAACTATGGGATAATTTTTTCTAATGTACTCTTCTTTTAAAGCAAATAGAAGAACACTTTATTTAAACATTTGAAAAGCCATCTTTATGAATAAAAAGCTTATTAAAAAATGCTCAGACCAAAAATAAACTATCTTGAACGTCCCTCGGAACTTTGAAATAATATTTTTGTAAAACTTTTAACCCTATTGATTATAACTATAAAAAAAAACAAAGTTAAACCTTATGGGATATGTTGTTGATGACCTAACATTCCAGGAACCATCTGTAGGTCAGGCGGAATGACTATGTCAAGTTTGGTTGCGATCCATTGTTTTGTTTTCTTGTGACTGACCGACCCATTTACAAGCAAACAAACAAACAGAGCCACACTGAGCTTTATATAGAACATTAACCATTGTCTCTTAATCACCATCACTAATCTATTACGTTGTGGAGCACATCCATTGAATATGAACGTCATTTTGCTATTTTTTTTTTTACATTGTCACTGATGCTGGTGTAATTGTTCTTACTCTGAGATTGATTCTAATCTTGCCTGAACCTTTAAAAAAATGCAAAAAAAAAAAAAAAAAAAAAAAAAAAAAAAATATATATATATATATGCATATATTTTCTAATTGGTTTGAAATCTTGGCAGATTAATTGTGAACCATGTAGTATTTCAAATGTAAAAAGAAAGAAAAGAAACACATTTAAAATGGTTTGAAACACGGTGTATTGAAAGTGAATTTCTTTCTTGTTCATTCCTTTAGAAACAGCAAATAGCTCTCAAAACCAACCATGATGTTTTGTGGTGCTAGAACACGAGTGTTTCTGATAGGGACCTTCTTCATTCTACAACATCAGTGCTCAGGTGGGTGGAAGCCATCACGTGATTGAATAACGAGGGCTATAAATATAATACTATAGTATAGTAGTTAGTTACTCTCCTAGTGTCTCATTTTTATTTTAATTAGTTTTACATGTTTTTAATAATTGTAAAGCGCTTAGAGCTATACGGTAAGCGCTATATAAAAATGCCCAAATAAATAAATAAATAGACGTATGCCACGCGAGAGGCTAAGCTACCTTTGTCCAATTTGTGCACATGTATTTTAACGTCTTTAATTAATGCCACCAATGCATTTATTTGCTAATATTAAATGCTTTTTTTTATCAAGTTTAATTTTGTTCGATGGAATTATTTTACTAAAGAAATGTTACATCATGATACAAGATACCTAACATTACCCTTATTTAGTGTTATGCTATCAAGATATGTGTATGTTTTGATGAAGGTAACTTACTGATTTAGATCAAGTTTTGAACTGAAAACAGATTTATAAGATTAAATTACTGGTAAAGAGACGCATGGTAAGTGATCAGGAAAAGGAAGGAATCCGTTTATTGAAACGCTTAATACATAATAGCCATGAATGAAATTACACGTAATCAAGTTAAGACACAAACCCATAAGGAAAAAAAAAGAGTAACATATTTAATACCAATACAATACGAAGTTCTTTCTGTGAGCAGCAAATCTAAAGCTCTGTGATTTATAATTTCTTCTCTGATGTATGGAGATTTTAAGTTGCCAGTGTTTAAAAAAAAATACATTAATCAGCTTAAATTTAATGAGATTGAAACGAGGTCAGCCTGTGTCCAGTTTGATTGAAAGAGTCGAGCAAATATGCGGCTATCAACAGTTTTATCCATCACAACAATTACACTGAGTTTAATTTGTAAGGTGGCATTATTGTCTTAGTCAACGTTTTTATTTTATTTTGAGCTTATTCATTTTTTTAAACAAACAAACAAACAAACCAACATGCAAACACAAACAACACCAAAAACCCTTAGAAATAGAGTTTGACATTGCCCGCTAAGAGAAATGTGCAATTAAAAAAAACAAAAAGTATGCAAGTTATTGATGCAATTGTTGGTGTTATATATATTGATGAAAAACATTAACGCTATATATATTTCAGTTGATGCTCAACTCAAATTTATTAGCCACCAATTAGTAACATCGGATCGGTTGATTCTCCCGCCAGAGGACAAGCCCGAGGCTTGTCAGAAAGACGTCAAGGGAGAAGCCATGTT